AAAAAAAAAAAAAAAACATTCGAAATAAAATGAAAGTGTTGTTCATATAATGGCTTATTTATTATTCAATAAATTTTTGTGACCTATCGACCTTTGATTTCAACACATTCATTAAAACGTATGTGATGCTTTTTGCAAATATGCGGTTCACAACATGGTAAGATATTCCATTTACATAAAACACAAATACGACCATATCTATCTTTATAATATGTTGAATTTGAATTATGTCGTCGAATAAATATTCGTTCTTGATCAATCAAATTATCATCTTGAGAATCATCATTATCATTCAAAGTAAAAGCACGTAAAAATGTATTGGATCGTGCACGAGGTATTTCAATACTCAAGTCTTCATTATTCTGAAAATTGTCATCATCAGTTTCTTGAAAACCAATCGTTTTCGATACTGTTATAGTTAATATAATACAAATAATACTAAGATAGAGATGAAAAATATTCATAACTTTTTTTTTTTTTAATGAATATACACGAAAATATATGCTCTTATATATGTCAACTAACTGTTCTTATTTATGGTAATTATATATGCATATTGCTTATTCATCTAAGCAATCTAGTACCTATTTTTTTTCTCTTTTCTATCCTCACTTTAGATTCAACAAACAATAATAATATTGAAGAATTTTAACATTCGAGCAAAATACATTGTCCTCATTATTGACGACCTTCTATTTTTCAAGAAGCTATTGAACCTTACAATAACGTAGAAAAAAAAACGGCACTACATGTATATGTATTTAATCATGCCCACTCCATTAGTCCTTCAAATAAGAATACAACAAGTTATTTTCACCATATGCAATGGTTATATTGTTTCGAAGCATGTCTCATCACGGCACGAGTTTGACTAGACAAACGGCAAGGACGTTTTGCGCTTTCATTAATACATATTCACAAAAATTTTAGTTGAATTCATTCTTCACGACGGCATATTAAAGATAGAAAAGAAAAAAAAAAAAGAAAAGAAGCGTGTGAATATTGTTCATGGACATAAACTTTTTTTTTGCTATTTCTACGCTGTTGAAACTTCCGTGCATATTATAATGGTCATCACAATCATCTTTATCATTGTGTATTAAAATTTTAAGTCATCTTTTCTCTATCTGTAATATGAGAAAGAGAAAAACGGAAACATAGTATTTTTAATTATACTTTTTCTATCACTACACATACTCTCTTTCCTTTCGTCAAAATGAAAGTTGACCGTTCCGTTTATTGAATGAATGACAAGCCATCACATTTTCTATTAAATAGGTATCAAACAGATTGAAATCTCTATTAACACATGATGATGAGTTTTCAAATAGAAATAAGCAAAACAAAGAATACAATCATTTTTTCATTGACAGACCTTCTTCAATTCGATTAGTGATTAGAAAAAAAGAAAGAAACGACTCATACCAAACTAAGAAATTCAAGAACTGATCACCAGTTGGTTTAATCATATTCACATGCGTCACATCATTTATTCGTCGTTCTTCTATTTACGATGCGTGATAAAAATAGCCTGTTCGAGAAAGGTTGACAACAACACGATGGTCATTCGTTCATTAAGATCGAATTACATATATATATATATATATATTTATACATACACACACACACGTACAAGCTCAGAAACATCTAGGCTGAAGAATTTTTATTTAGATTAAAAAAAAAAAAAGAAAGCAATTCTGTCACTATTGATCTATAAGAAAGAAACATTTTCTTCGAACAGTTTAGTTCGATGGAACGGAAATGGGTTAATGTAAAAGCCTTGATGAAAAGTGCTATGTTTGATTTCATTGACTTGTCGCCGGCATCATAGTTGATGACGATGATGACGACGCCGGTACTTCTTATATTTTGATCAATTCAGACAATTCGATTGACACATACAGATGGTCAGTGGTCGTTGTCGTCTTCTTAAAAATCAAACACGAAAGCATGCATTTGTCTAGTCTTTACTAAGTAATTTCATTTGAACAATGATAGACATAAGCGAATATGAGTGTCAAATCAAAACAGGAAGTCGATTTTTCTCGCTCGACTAAAGTGTTCAAGAACATGTTCATGCACGTTTTCTTTTTCTTCTATTGCAAACAGACATGCGATGTCCACTATTACTACTCTTGCATTTACTACTTCAATAGTGACATAGTCTGACTAATGGATTGCAAATAAGAACGAGAGAAAATGTCACCCATATCACACTACTGCCATCATGAATAAACCTATGGGCAATTTTCAACTGTCCATATTGTTATATATCGTTTTATATGTATATGAATAGAGTGAGGCCAACAATGAATTGTTAACTATTTGTAACAAGTTAATCAGAAAAAGAGATTCTATAGAAATCGGATCCTCTACAAACCTTGATTTATCTTTGGTGTTCGTCGTCTGCTGCAAACATTAGTGACAGTCTTTAATGGATGAAATGATGATAATAGTTGGACCATACCATACATACATACACATTTGTGTCTCTTATTACTTCTTCATTTACTTGCTTGCTGACGCACATGAAAATATGTTGCGCGATTTTTATTGTTTTAGTACAACTCAAAGAAGTATATTCTAGAAATAATCAATTATTATCACTTAACTGCTTATTCCAATGATGCGTTTCTACTTCATTAGATTCTTTGCTTTTTTTTAGTGTTCATTATTATCATCATTATTACATAAATTCCATATGTTAATCACAATCTCATGTGAGAATTAAATATGAATTAGGAAAGAACCCTAAGGAGGTATCGTCATTTTCATCCTTCGTCTCATCATTATCGTTATAGTGAAGATATTATTTAAAAAAAAAAAAGAGATCTTATGAGAATAATTCAACAAAATAGATAGCTAGTAGAATACAATCTCTCAACTTTACTAATAATACAACTACTACTATCATCAACTCATCAGGGTTCAATTATTCAAGCTTGATTACTCAAGCAGACAATCCGTTTGTCACTCTACTCACAAATCTTTGTGTTATGTGTATAGAGATGCATATATGGCATAGAGATTATTAGCTCATTGACTAACTTGTGTTCTGAGATAAATTGGCATTTAGATGATCTCTTATCGAACAACAGTACCAGTAGTCTACTCTACTTGGTCAGCAAGATACTTCCTTCCTGATACATTTTTTTTTCTTTTCGTTCTTTTCTTGTTCAACAATGTTTTTTTTCTTTCTCTCCCTTCTTCTCTTGCTCTCTCTCTCTCTCTCTCTCTCTCTCTTTCTCATTCTCATTTCTCTTTTATTCTTTTCTTTTTTCTTTTACTTGCATTTTTTTTTTGTTGAACAGACACTCGTCGATCATCGAGCACATATAACTCATACATCAGAAACTTGTTGAATTGATGGCATTTCAAGACAGGTAAAAAACGAAGATTTCTTGCCGTTTTATTCTTACTTACGTGATAGTAAAAGTAAAAATAAAAAGGGCAGACAGAAAAGATCAGGGTCACAGAAAACAAACGGAATTTATCATAATAACAAAACCGACAGTAGCTGAAAAAAAGAGAAGAAGAGAGAGAGAGAGAGA